TATGTGTGTCTTTAATCAAGTGCAGACAAATGTTTAGATGTTTTGAACTTAGCCGAAATGCCCTAAATTAGGTCAGAGTGGAATGAAAAATGAGAGGCAAAAAGAACCAGGAAATTTTCCAGTATGCCTATGTAAGTGGACAGGAGTATAACTTGGAGATTTATATCCCTATAATTTGACATCTTCCAAAAATAATGATTTTGAATTTGAAATCATTCCTTTTTCTTTATACTCCACTGGATTTAAAGCTGTAAGTGGAGGACCTACTTCAACAATGGCCATTTTTTAATATACTTCAGATATTTTCTTTGTGAACAATTTTGCCCTTACTAATTATGAAGTGAAGTGAAGTAAAGTTGCTCAGTCGTGTCTGACTCTTTGCGCCCCATGGACTGTAGCCTAACAGGATCCTCCGTCCATGGAATTTTCCAGGCAAGAGTACTGGAGTGGGTTATTATGAAGGAGATGTTAATATAATTATGATGGAATCAAACAAATATAGATGTCCAGAAATGATAAGAAATTCACCTGTTATGGAGGTGAACCGTGGTATACTTAGACAAAAAGTGATTCTTGAATCATTTATTTTTATATTTGACTTTGGAGTACATATAAATTTAACTTTACATATAAATATGTCAGTCTTAAATTATGGAGTTCGTGACATTTTGGGCAAATGAACAAAAAGGTACAGTGGCCAATCCATTTCCATATCTCCTTTGTATATATATGCTTAATAGTAAATGTCTTGTTTCTATGATCTAGAAGAGTTAGTTTTATTGACTGGCTTTCTGACCTTGAGCAAGTCATTATCCTTTTCTGGGCCTCTTTTTTTTCTTTCTATTTGTAAAATAAGAATTTAGAATTGAGTAGATCCCCACTAAGGTTCTCTTTTACTTCTAACTTTTATGTTTATAAATTTACTCTCAAGTTGACTTATACCTTCTGTGGGGTCAGAGAACATACTTAAACCTTTGATTTGAAATGTCTTTCTTGATAGTAGCTGATCCAGAGTTAACACAAGTCTCTTTCCTACTTTCTACTGGAATTAGAGTTATTAAAAATGTTGGTGTCACCATCATAGACGTTAGGGCAATAACTGATTAGCTTTAACAGCTAATTGGCTTCAATCCCCAACATAGCTAGGCCTCAGCATAGCTGCTGAAATCTTAAGCCCACGTCATAAAGGCAATAACCCTTAGACAATCTGAAAAGGAATGAAATATGACACTGGTTTCTTTCAGTAGTAGAAATTGCTACTATGATTTATACATATTCTCTCTTTGCCACATAACTGAGAGAAGACTGTATTTTGGACCATGGATCTATCCCTGGCTATCCTTATTTTCTGACAAATTGATAAAGTAACTGCTGGAACAATTAAGCCTAGGTTATCATAAGTACATGCATTTGTAAGAGAGATGAAATAGGGCCATCTATTGGTTTCTGGTGCCATCCATATGAAAAGAAATGTAGCCTAGGTGCTGTTTACTATTCAAAGTGAATTGGGTGGCACAAAGACAGAAATACAGATCAATGGAACAGAATAGAAATCTCAGAGATAAATCCATGTACCTATGGACACCTTATCTTTGGCAAAGGAGGCAAGGATATACAATGGAAAAAAGACAACCTCTTTAACAAGTGGTGCTGGGAAAACTGGTCAACCACTTGTAAAAGAATGAAACTAGAACACTTTCAAACACCACACACAAAAATAAACTCAAAGTGGATTAAAGATCTAAATGTAAGACCAGAAACTATAAAACTCCTAGAGGAGAATACGCAAAAACTCTCTGACATAAATCACAGCAGGATCCTCTATGACCCACCTCCCAGAATATTGGAAATAAAAGCAAAAATAAACAAATGGGACCTAATTAAACTTAAAAACTTATGCTCAACAAAGGAAACTATAAGCAAGGTGAGAAGACAGCCTTCAGAATGGGAGAAACTAACAGCAAGTGAAGTAACAGACAAAGGACTAATCTCAAAAATACACAAGCAACTCCTCCAGCTCAATTCCAGAAAAATAAATGACCCAATCAAAAAATGGGCCAAAGAACTAAACAGACATTTCTCCAAAGAAGACATACAGATGGCTAACAAACACATGAAAAGATGCTCAACATCACTCATTATCAGAGAAATGCAAATCAAAACCACAATGAGGTACCATTACACACCAGTCAGAATGGCTGCTATCCAAGAGTCTACAAGCAATAAGTGCTGGAGAGGGTGTGGAGAAAAGGGAACCCTCTTACACTGTTGGTAAGAATGCAAACTAGTACAGCCACTATGGAGAACAGTGTGGAGATTCCTTAAAAAACTGGAAATAGAACTGCCATGTGACCCAGCAATCCCACTCCTGGGCATATACACCAAGGAAACCAGATCTAAAAGAGATACATGCACCCCAATGTTCATCGCAGCACTGTTTATAATAGCCAGGACATGGAAGCAACCTAGATACTCATCAGCAGGCAAATGGATAAGGAAGCTGTGGTACATATACACCATGGAATATTACTCAGCCATTAAAAAGAATACATTTGAATCAGTTCTAATGAGATGGATGAAATTGAAGCCCATTATACAGAGTGAAGTAAGCCAGAAAGATAAACACCAATACAGTATACTAACACATATATATGGAATTTAAAAAGATGATAATGATAACCCTATATGCAAGACAGAAAAAGAGACACAGATGTATAGAACAGACTTTTAGACTCTATGGGAGAAGGCGAGGGTGGGATGTTCTGAGAGAATGGCATTGAAACAAGTATACTATCAAGTGTGAAACAGATCGCCAGCTCAGGTTGGATGCATGAGACAAGTGCTCAGGGCTGGTGCACTGGGAAGACCCAGAGGGATGGGATGGGGAGGGAGGCGGGAGGGGCTATTGGGATGGGGAACACATGTAAATCCATGGCTGATTCATGTCAATGTATGGCAGAAACGACTACAATATTGTAATTAACCTCCAACTAATAAAAATAAATGAAAAAAAAAGTGAATTTGGAAACTGGGAAAGTTGAATCTGTAACTTTAGAAAACTTCCTTCTGGAAAGTAACCTGTTACTGATGTCAGAGCCACTTAGAGTAGTCCCACTTAGGAAGCAGGAGGTTTGAGTAAATGATTGCTTCAGGTATGATCAAGGAATTATTTTGTGATAGTCTCTTGCCAAATGGATCTTGATGCAGCTTGTTCTCTTGGTCACTTTTTCCTGGATCTGAACTTTGTTCTTCAACACCTCCTCTTGTTTCCCCCTTATCCCCAGTTTGTGTCTTTTTCCTGTAGAATATTTTGTCAATCACTGAAGCTAGGGCTGGAATAGGAATCAATTCAAATAACAGAAACTACACTGTCAAAAACCATTTTGGCGGCATATTTGCACTGAGAATGCTGCATTTATCTCAATTTTGCCAGAAAGCATACACATAAATTTAGATGGTTCCCTATTACTGTTGACCTTTACAAGAACAGGGTGACAACTAATTAAGTTTCTTAAGTTTTTGAGCTATGTGTTAATTTAATCACCAGGACTCAGACCTTGAGCTATTTTAGGTCATGTGTTAAGAGTGTAAGTTGGGGATACCTTTGTGCTAATGTTGGTAAGAACCACCCTTGTTTAGCAGGTAATCAGTCACTGGTTACCAGGTCTAACATGATGACCATATGCATTATGGGTTTCATTTTTTAACCTTCACCTATGTTGTCTGATGAGGTACTCTTAAGCTGTGGAAAATAATTTTGTTTTGGTGTATAATGCAGTTTTCTTTAAAGACAGTAGAATTTGGATCATGTTTGTAGTTCCATGAATTCACTAGGGTTGTTATGTTATATATTTAACACCAGTTTACACATGCAATTCCACTGCCCCCACTGAGCATTAAAACTGCAACTTGAATCAAGTTATCTAAACCTAAAATTGTTTTGTTGTTGTTTTATCAGAGAGCAATTGACTAAAATGAAGTTGTTTTTCAGATTCTGATACCTCAGCAAGGTGTCATTTTTCTGATAAAATATTTTCAAATCCAGGTTTTTATCTTAGAAATACTTTTGATAGCAATAATGATTAAAACTATCAACGGTAGATAGGATCCTATAAATATGCCAGCTAATTATTTTTTCTTACCAATGTATGAGATGTAGTGACTATTGGTTAGAGTGCAGGAAACGTTTTTAAAAAGAGTCCACATCCTAAATACTAATCTTGATACTATCAAATTTTAAGATGTAGTAAGCTAACTGAAATACACAAACACAGGAAAGGAATTCACTAACTTATTAGATATGACATATACTATGGGGGTAAATAGTCACTGGCATACATTAGGAAACTCACAAATCTTTAAGAAACAAAAAATTCAACAGCCCCCACAATAAGGAGAAGTTGCAGTGTTTAAAACAAAAACACGAAAGCCAGTTATACCTAGAAACCACAAGCTAACAATTCTTTGGAGTCTATTCAGTCTCCCTTTGATGCTGTTCATTGAACCAGAATGAGCAGCGTGGAGCACTGAAGGGCAACAAACATAGGCAGGTGAGTTTGCCTCTTCTGATAGCTGGTGGGGACTGCTGAGCACAGCCCTCAGCCCTGTGGGGAAATGGTGTGAGATCCCAAGGAAGGTCAGGAATCTGTGCGGCAGCGACAGTAGCAAAGTGGCACCTGGAGCTTCAAGGAAGCAAGGGTAAGAAAAGCAAAGCCAAAGGGTTAAGCACCCGACTGCACCTCTGCTGATTAGGGGCAAACACCCCTTCAGTTGGTTGTGAAATGGACTTAGTGTTTTATAGGTATAAAAAGGCAAATAATAGTAATACTAATAACAATAACAAAAAAATTAATGTAGCTATAAAAGATGGTGAAAGAAATAGGAGTTTCACTCTCCTGTCTAGTGGGAGGGGGCGGTGAGGGAATCATATTCTATGTCACCTCTGAGAGCAAAGAAATGAGAAATTTTCTGAGTTCCAGGACACGTGATAACGGCTTGACTTAGAGCCGAGTTGTAACTTGTTCTTCCTGTCCATCACCCCATTTGTGCATGAGCAGGTCACAGGCCTCTCCCCACGTTTCAAATACATCCTCTGAGGAGTCTAAAAGTTTAGAATTTGAGGAACAGATGCTGGAAACGCAGTGAAGAGAGCTGGAACAGGCTAGAGGGCATTCAGTGCTCTGAGCAGTGCCCCGGGCTTCACCTAATTCTACCTCACTGAGGTTAATTTCACTTTGAGAACAGGCCTCTGCTTTCCCTTTCTCCATCTGAGAATATCTGATGTCCTGCCACATATAGTGTGGCTGAACAATTCCATCAGAGATTGTGTACATTGGCTCTGAACTGGGTTCAGACATATGACCATTAAACTTGGAGAATAGGAGACCCAGTTTCTTGAGAGAGGGACCCATGAAGGATCGTTTGCTTGATGACTCAGCTTTTGACTTGCCTTGGGCACCACCAACTCTTGGCATAGTCCTGATGAGAGGTGGCCCATGGCAGGCTTTTTTCTTGCAGCCTACATTGAAAGAGACACTCTTGGATTTGGCCCGAGCCCCACCACTGCCATCATTGGTATCATCCCTCTGAGAGAGTTCAGTGCTGCTAGTGGAAAAACTTCTCCTTTGGTGCTTCCTGTTTCCCAAGAGGTCAAGCACTTCATATCGAAAGCTGGAGATATCCTGCTTTAATTCCTAGGGCAAGAGAGATGACACATTATGTTAAGAAACTTTGGAATGTTCCAGATTTTTGTCTCAGAAAATCACAAGGTGTATGAACTACCAGAAACATGTCACATCATTCCACCACAAGAAAAACATAGTAACAAATCTGTGGGCAGGGCTGGCCATTGGAAAAAAATGTGCAATTGGTAAAGTCGATTTCAGAACCTCCATATCAGGAGTACACCAACAGACTGAAATGTTAACCAACAATGAAGGTATTAGAGTATAGGGTATTGGCTGTCATCGACATCTGCATAGAGAAAGATACAGAAGAGGAAAAGCTTTAGGACTCAGGAATAAAACTAGGAAAGTGGAATGTCAGGTAATGAGACTACTGCTCAGTTGTGTCCCACTCTGTGATCCCATGGCCTGTAACCGGCCAGGCTCCTCTGTCCATGGGATTTCCCAGGCAAGAATACTGGAGTTGGTTGCCATTTCCTCCTCCAGAGGATCTTCCCAACCCAGGAATCAAACCCACGTCTCCTACATTGCAAGCCAATTCTTTACCATTGAGTCACCTGGGAAGCCCCATTTTGGGACAGGGGACCCTGTTTATCTAAGTCCCTGTGAAATGTCTTCTCCTCTCACTGGCTGCCTAGATACTAGTTTGCTCTTTTAAAAACTATCTTTGAAAAGCTTACATCCGATGATTTCATTCTTTTGCTTAACACTTTTTAGTAACTTGTCACTGGCCTTATGAAAAAGGAAAAGTGCCATACTACAGACTACAAGGTTTTTCAAGGCCTGGTATGTGTTCATCTCTCCCATTTCATATCTTTCTACTCTTTCCCCAGGCTTGCCACTGTCCACCTGTATGGACATATTCTCTTGCCTCTGAGTCTTTGCATTTGCTGTTCTCTCTGGAACACTCTTCTACCCAACTAGCTTCTCCTTCAGACCTCAGCTTGAACATGGCTTCCTTTGAAAAGCCTACCTCAAATCCCCAGGTCCCAGCTGGGTGTCCCCCCATTTCTATGTCTCCACAGTACCTTGTGTTGTTCCTGTTCGAATACTCCGTCATTCATCACCCTCTATCTTTATTGTGTGTCACTCCATGAGAGAGTAGGGGTTGCTTATATCTTGCTCATCACTGTGCTCCAACTACCTGGCAGAGTGTTTGGCATGTAGCAGGCCCTCAACTGGTGAGTTATGTCTAGATTAGGATAACAGCCTTCATGTACTCCTTAGAAAATGTATATGTGTTCTAGGATAGGGTTTCTCAACCAGTTGACATGTTGAGTGTGGCAATTCTTTGTTAAGGGGATCTGTCCTGTGGATTGTAGGATTTTTAGCAACAACCCTGGCCTCTACTCACTAGATGCCAATAGCATTCCAGTGTGACAAGCAAAAATGTGTAATGGTAGGATATCATAAATGTTAAGTTTTAATAATAGATTTTTTGGTCTTTATCATATCTTTTAAGTAAAGACCTTTAAATCTTACACATCCTTGCCACATCGTTTAAAGCATTCCATTCCCACACTGAGAAACACTCAGACTATTAAAAGACTGTGTATTTTTTATTATTCATGAAGATGACTGTGGTGGTGTGACAAACATTGGTAAAATATCTTCATCTATTGGAAGAACTGTAACTAGTTTTACTGTATTATAGGCAGTTGAAATTCCATCACCAGAAACTTCGAACACTGTGAAGATTAAATGATGCTTAAGAAATATGAAATGAGAAATTAAACCACTTTATGACCAAATTACCTTAAAATTTTCTTCTGTTAGTCCCTCATTTGTTTTGGAATTTCTTATCATAGCTGCCACATATCTTTTGACTAAATTCCTGATAACTTCCTGGAATTTAAACAAAAACATGAAATGGCATTCAGTTTCCTTCTTGGACTCTTAGTACAATAAGGAACATATACAAGAAAAAAAATATGCCTAGACTGTCTTTGCAATGGAAAATTCTCACAGGATCCAACCATTTTCTACAAAACCCCCAGTTAAGTCCACTGGCTAAATGAAGAATTACTATGTGTTCAAATTTGGTGGCAGAATGGGCCAGTGAGATCAAATTCACCCAAAAGAAAATTTTTCCACCCAGGCATAAGGTAAACATGATTCACATTAATAGAATAATCAGAGTAGAGTAATCCTTGAATGGTCACAGTCAATACCCTTTCCCTTCAGGCTGGATTAAACTTTAACCCTCCTAGTAAGATGAGAGTTTTTCTTCCTTTTATAAAGTTGACATTCTTCAGTGTCACAAAATCTGCTGATCTCGATGTCCACTAATTATATAGTCAAGATATTTTTTATTAAAGTCAATCTGCTGTTCTCCTTTACAGGGATGGCCTCTTTTAACTTAGCCTCCTGGGAATGGTATACATATAGTCACTCAGCTTTGTGTTAGAACCAGTGATGATGATAGCTACCACTTAATGCAATATGTCAGACACTGCCAGGACACACATGCACACACAAATACATACGTACTCACCACTCAATTCTCACAACTACACTTTGAGTTAAGTTTAATCATCCCTGTTTTACAGATGAGGAAACTGAGGCTCATGGAAGGCAAGAGACTTATCCAAGGTCACACAACTGACCAAGAACTATTGTGCTTAGTTCATATAAAGAAGCTTTACCTGGTAATGTTGGTTCTGTATCAAGCTGTCAGCATGGCGTTCCTGTCATTGAAAATGGACAGAGAGCTTATATCAGCAGTGTCCCAGCAGCCCATCCACTCAAATATATTTTTAAATATTAGGACTGGAACATGACACAGGAGCTGCTGCTTGACAAACCCCCAAAGCATCTGTAGGTTGGAGTAGTTTTATGATGTTCAAAATAGGGAATGTCACAAAGGAGGGAAAGGAGAAAACATTTGTGTTTACAAAGAGACAATTTTTAAAGGCCTTACTGTGAAGCTTCTCAAGTTGTGCCTTCTTCGTCTACCATCAGGGTCTCTTTTAGGGCAGAAGGTGTTGTTGAACCAGTTGCCAAGGTATAGAAATGACTTGGGGCTGGGGATAATGTTGAAAGGAGGTGGCAAGGTGCCACCTTCATCAAAGTAACTCATCCAGAGCTTCGTCCTTGCAAACTTCCATTCAATATCAGCATGATCCTGTGAAAGACAAGTTCAAAGATGGGGGATAGGAAAATACAAAATGCACCCATGACTCATTCTAAAAGTTCTACTTGCTTCTACAGAGGGAAATATGTCAGTAGCTATAAAAATTCAATTTACACTGACCTTACCCTCTAGTGTTTTCCTCTACATGTTTTCTAGTTGCAACATTTACGTTTTGCTCTATGATCAATTTTGAGTTCATTTTTCCTTAAGGGGTGAAGTTTACATTGAGGGTTTTTTTTTTCTTGTTTTGTTTTTGCCTGTCGATGCTCATTTGCAATTTGCTGAAAAGGCTATTGTTCTTCCATTGAATTGCTTTTGCACCTTTGTCAATCAGTTGTGCATGCTGGGACTACTGGCTATTCACATTCAAAAGAATAAAGTTGGATTCCTACCTCACACCACCTACAACATTCAACTCAAAATGAATCACAGAACTAAATAGATAAAAAGTATAAAACTCTAAGAAGAAAATTTAGGAGTAAATATTTATAACCCTGGATAAAACAATGGTTTCTTAGAGAAGACACCAAAGGCCAAGGAACAAGAGAACAAAATAGGTAAATTGGACTTGATCAAAGTTAAAAACTGTATGTCAAGGACACCATAAAGAAAATGAAAAGACAACCCACAGAACAAAAGAAAGTAATGAAATATCATATATCTGATAAGGGACTTGTATCCAGACTATATAAAGAATGATAACAATTCAATAATAAAAAGACAAATCAATTTGAAAAAGGGGAAAGCACTTGAATAGACATTTGCAGAAAGACACAAATGACCAACATTGTTGGTCATTAAGAGTATTCAAATTGAAACTGCAATGAGATACGACTTTAAACCCACTAGGATAGCTATAACTATTTTTCATAGAAGAATAGCTAGTGTAGGTTAGAATCTGGAGAATTTGCACCCCTCACACACTACTGGTGGGAACATGAAATAGTGCAGCTACTTTGGAAAACCATATGGCATTTTCTCGAATAGTTAAACATAGAGTTACCATACAATCCAGCAATTTCACTCCTAGCTACATAACCAAGAGAAACGAAAGCACATGCTACACAAAAACGTGTACACAAATGTTCAGCAGCATTTTTTATAATAGCTAAAGAGTAGAAACAACCTAAATGCCCATCCACCAATAAATGGATAAACAAAATGTGGTATACTATCATTATTATCCAGTCTTTAAAAGGAATGAAGTTTTGATACATAAGGCAACATGGATGAAACTTGAAAATCTTATGCTGAAAGTATATTCTGCTGAGTCAAAGTACATTCTGCTGAAGGATCCTCTATGACCCACATCCCAGAATATTAGAAACAAAAGCAAAAATAAACAAATGGGACCTAATGAAACTTAAAAGCTTTTGCACAACAAAGGAAACTATAAGCAAGGTGAAAAGACAGCCCTCAAATTGGGAGAAAATAATAGCAAACGAAGCAACAGACAAAGGATTAATCTCAAAAATATACAAGCAACTCCTCCAGCTCAATTCCAGAAAAATAAATGACCCAATCAAAAAATGGGCCAAAGAACTAAACAGACATTTCTCCAAGGAAGACATACAGATGGCTAAAAAACACATGAAAAGATGCTCAACATCACTCATTATCAGAGAAATGCAAATCAAAACCACAATGAGGTACCATTACACACCAGTCAGAATAGCTGCTATCCAAAAGTCTACAAGCAATAAATGCTGGAGAGGGTGTGGAGAAAAGGGAACCCTCTTACACTGTTGGTGGGAATGCAAACTAGTACAGCCACTATGGAGAACAGTGTGGAGATTCCTTAAAAAACTGGAAATAGAACTGCCATATGACCCAGCAATCCCACTTCTGGGCATACACACCGAGGAAACCAGATCTGAAAGAAACACGTGCACCCCAATGTTCATCGCAGCACTGTTTATAATAGCCAGGACATGGAAGCAACCTAGATGCCCATCAGCAGATGAATGGATAAGGAAGCTGTGGTACATATACACCATGGAATATTACTCAGCCATTAAAAAGAATTCATTTGAATCAGTTCTAATGAGATGGATGAAACTGGAGCCCATTATACAGAGTGAAGTAAGCCAGAAAGATAAAGACCATTACAATATACTAACACATATATATGGAATTTAGAAAGATGGTAACGATAACCCTATATGCAAAACAGAAAAAGAGACACAGATGTATAGAACAGACTTTTGGACTCTGTGGGAGAAGGCGAGGGTGGGATGTTTCAAGAGAACAGCATCGAAACATGTATATTATCTAGGGTGAAACAGATCACCAGCCCAGGTTTGATGCATGAGACAAGTGCTCAGACCTGGTGCACTGGGAAGAGCCAAAGGGATCGGGTCGAGAGGGAGGTGGGAGAGGGGATCGGGATGGGGAATACATGTAAATCCATGGCTAATTCATGTCAATGTATGACAAAAACCACTACAATATTGTAAAGTAATTAGCCTCCAACTAATAAAAATAAATAAAAAAAATAAAAAAAAATAAAATGCAGTCATTAGGGACTGAGGCACATACAAAAAAAAAAAAAAGTATATTCTGCTGAGTCTTCCAGTCCACGAACACCGTATGTCATTTCTTTCATCCATGTTTTGTAGTTTTCAATGTGTAAGTCCTATCTATACATGTTTTGTTAACCTTTTGCCTAAAATGAAAGCTTATGCCTAAGTATTTCATTTTACTTACAACAATTTACAATGGTACTGTCTTTTAAAATTTCAGTTTCTAATTGTTCATTGCTAGTATATGGTTGATTTTTGTGTATTGACTTTGTATTTTGTGACCTTGTTAAATTCATTTTTTTATTCTATGAAATTTTTAAAATAGATTATTTAGGGTTTACTTTATACAGAATCACAAGACAGTTTCATTTCTTCTTTTCCAATCTGTACATCTTCAATGTTTTTCCTTACTGCACTATCTAGGATCTCTAGTACAAAATGGAATAGAAGTACTTAAAGCAGATATACCTTGTTACTGATCTTAGAAAGTCTTCTGTCTTCTACCACTTAGTTAGCTATAGGTTTTGTGGTTCAGGTTGTGCACATTACATTCTTTTCCAGTTTTGCTAAGACATTAAAAAAAATCATCAGAGTAGAAGTTTGTCAAACACCTTTTCTGGTCATATAAATTGATATGACCATAGGATTTTTCTTTTTTAGACTATTAATATAATGAATTACTTTGCATTTCTGGAGTAAATTCTATTTGGTTATGGTATGTTCTTTTTATATATTGCTGGATTCAAATATGTTAATGCTCTGTTGAGGATTTCCCTGTCTATGTTCATAAAGGATATTGGTCTACAGGCTTTTTAAAAAAATTTTCTGTACTTTTTTCCTGGTTTGGGTATCAATAGAATACATTATATATGTAATATATTTATATGTAATTAGAATTAATTTTACCAATTTCTTATCACTATATTTTAATGTGGCTACTAGACAATGTAACATATGTGGCACATATTTGTGACTTGCATAAAATTTTTATTGTACAGAACTTCCCTAGACTAATGGTGTATTTAGTCCTGCTTAACATGACTGAAGTGACTTAGCAGCAGCAGCAACAAGGCTTAAAAGCAAGCCTCAGAGGTCAAACTATTTCCAGAATAAAGCTCAAGTGTATTTAAAACAATACAAAAATATCCAGCATCCAACAAGGTAAAATTCATTATGTCTGACATCCAATACAAACTTATCACAAATGCCAAGAAACAGGAAAATTGATACATAATGAAAAAAAATTTATTAAACAGAACCAGATACAAATCAGTTGTATTCTATATTGGCAATGAACAGTAAAATATTAATTTTTTAAAAGTATCATTTAAAATATAAAATCCTTAGGAATAAATATGACAAAAATATGTGTTTTTTAACATTGGAAACTGTGAAAGATTACTGACATAAATTAAAGACTTAAATAAATGTAAAGAAATGGCATATTCATGAATTGAAAGACTAAATATAATTAGGATGGCAATTCTTTCCAAATTGATTATAGATTCAATACAATTTCAGTCAAATCTCAGTTGGCATTTTTGAAGAAACTGACAAACTGCTTTCAAGTTTATATATAAATACAAAAGATGTAAAAGATGTAACTAAAAGATGTAGTTAATTTTGAAAAAGAACAAATTGGCATTGAAGATCAATGGAACAAAACAAGAAAGTCCAAAAATAAATGTGTGCATATGCATAATTACAGGCATATATGCAATTGACTTTTAAGAAAGGTGTCAAGGCAATTCAACTTGGAAATGATAATCTTTTCAACAAATTACTTTGGAATAGTTGGACTTCCAGAAGGAAAAAATAAAGAATCTTGATCCTTACTTCACACCGTATACAAAAATTAACTCAAAATGAGTTGTAACTCAAAGTTATGGGAGGGCTAAATCTATAAATATTTTACTAATAAACAATTTGCTATGTTTTTTTCTTTCTGCTTGCTTTGGGTTTAGTTTACTGTATTTTTCTAGTTTCATAAAGATGGAAATTTAAGTTATTGATTTGAAATATTTTTTAATATAAACTTTTACAATTATAAATTTCTTTCTGAGGATATTTCGGATATACTGTACTCTCCCTTTAATTCATCTCAAAGTATCTTCTAATTTCCTTTGTGATTTCCTCTTTGAACCAGTAGTTATTTTGCAGTATCTTCTCTGCTATCCATTTATATGTGAATATCCCAAATTTTATTATGTTATTGATATCTAATATTTGCAGAATATGTTTTTTATTATTTCAGTCCTTTAAAAAAATTAGTGAGACATTTTATGGACTAACATATAATCTGTCCTGGAGAATGTTCCATGTGCAGTTCAGAAGAACATATATTCTGCTATTGTTGTATGGCGTGTTGTATAGATAGATGTCCATTAAGTTTAGTTGGTTTATAATGTTGTTCAAGTATTCTATTTCCTTTTTGGTCATTTGTCTACTTCTGTTTGTTGCTGAAAGTGG